CTTAAATTGGTTACAATACACGACTTATTTTACAGTTTAAAGCATTAAGTAATTCATAAAAGAGTTAATAGCTTTTAGTACACGTAGGTAAGAAATAATTTGTGTCCTTCATCGGTCACGACAAAAACGTGTATTGGGTTCCAGAATAAGATCCGACATAACTCAGAAATGTGTACTGGTCATCGACCAAACTCTACGTCTATAGAAAGAAATAAAATGAAATACCAACTTAGGTCAGCAGATTCTAATTTCAAGCAAGGCAAATGTGTTTTCATCTCGTGTCTGTGGCTTGGCAGGATTTGGAAGACCAACATATGTGTGTGTGTGTGAAGAATATTTCATCGATTTATAATCATCCATTATTAATTCATTATTTGTTTGTCATGATTGTATTAGTCATTGTATCGCTAGTTATCTTTATTTAGAAGGCGAAATCAATAAGCGCAGACTTAAGTCTCAATTTTGTTCTAAATAGTTACTCATAAGTATCTCCACTATTAAAGCATCCTCATCCATAATTTCGTGAACAAATGTTATTTCAAAATCGGACCACTGATACTGAAAATATCACTACTACTAACTCATCATATGATTAGCATATGATTAATATAAAAATTAAAATAAGTATTTTCTGTCATTATAATTTTAGTGGTTATAGTGTCGATCATTTACGAAATATTTTTGAGCATTAGTGCTTTCAAAATCTGGAATTCAGAAAACATGATACGTTATTATTCTGAACTTGAGTTTTCAACAAATATCGATATTCTGCCCAAGAGCCGCCGCAGTTGCTCAACCACATTCGTCGCCAATCTCATTCGCGTATCTGTTTCACAAGGGAGGAATGTAGAACAGGAAACATCGAACCGCGCCCGAACCATAGCTTGCCGCGGAGGCCTTCCATAAACATTTACGACGGCTGCGGCGGCGGCGGTGGCAATGGCTATGGTGATGGCAGAGAGCATTACGACGTAGCGAAGATACTGGGGCGGTGGCAGTCGAAGTAGAAAAAGTTGTGGAGGTTACAGCAGTGACTACTCGAAGAGTATCGAAGGTGTTGACGGCGATCGTTACTATGGCCAGAGGTAGTGGTGTGGAATGGTGATTTGCAATGGCAGTGCTACCGCTAATGGTGGTGGTGATTGTGGTGATGTTTCTGCTGACGATAATTACAGTTATAGTGACGGTTATGAAAGTGGCTGTTCTGGTAGTGGTGATTGCCTTTGGGACAGTGATATATCGGCGGCGGTGTTGACGGCGCTGGCAGCCTATGGCAAGAGGTAGACTTGTGTGTGATGATGATCGTGGCGTTGATGATAGTGACAATGGTACCACTCCTTATGACGGTGTTGGTGATTGCGGGGATTGTGCCGATGGAGGTTGTGATGGCGGATGTGGTGGTGATATCTGTGGTGGAGCTGCTGTTGATGATGATGATGATGATAGTGATGGTATTCGTGACACTAATAGAAGTGGGGGTTACGGTACTGGTGATTACCATAGTGGCGGTGATGTGGAGACAGCGGCGGTGTTGATAGCGATTGTCATTATATTGTCAAGAGGTTGAGGTGTGTATGATGATATTGGCGCCGCTGATAGTGGCAGAAGGGTCGCTGCTGTTGATGGTGGTTGTGGTGGATGTGGCGATGCGAGTTGTAGAGGTTGTGGTGTAAGTATTGCTGCTGATAGTGCTGGTGACAGTGATGTTTGCGATAGTGGCAGTGAGTGGGTTGGTAGAGGCAGCAGTAGGCGGAGGTGTCTCCGGTGGAGCGGTGGAAGTTGTTGTCGTACTAGTGGTGATGGTGGTAGTGCTGCCGCTGACAGTGCTGGTGATAGTGACGATTATGGTAATGATGATAACGACAGCGGCAGTGAACGGGCGGGGCAGTGGCGGCGGTGAGGGAGCTGTGAGGGCGGAGAGAGAGGCAGCGGGAGGCGCGAGTTCGCTTCCAACGCTCGCCTGGGGCGACGGCGGCGCGCGCGCTCATTAAGGAGCCGGTCGACGCGCGAGTGACAGCTGCCGCCTTCGCAGGGGACGTTTACGGCCTGCGGACTGCCGCCCGCGCGCACGCCCCAGGCGGCCGGCGGGTGAAGCTCAAAGCGTCAACGAAGCTCTGCGGTAGACGCAGTGGGAAGCAAATTCACTCAAGTGCTCGTATATCACCATGATGAGTATATTTGTGTTGAGCATGTAGTTGCTGAAACAATTTTGTCGAACCACGATTTTGTTTAATGCTAGAGAACTCTTTTCGTTGCGTTGTGATCATGTATGGCACAGCATGCTGATGCATTGGAGATGGTCACGTTATGACGGAGCACTTCTTTGCATTTTAATTGTGGCCCATCTATTCTTTTTATTTTCTAGTTTCCACCATAACCGCAAACACGGCTTCTCCTGGGATACGCAATATCCACAATAGATTCTATGATACATAAGAATCTGTGATACAAAATAAACTATTTCAAATCTTCGTTTTTCAATATTCGCCTTACTTCCACATTGATAGGAACTAATTATGTTTCCCATAACTTACCCATATGACTAAACCGAAACGAGCGCAAAAAAATTATAATATGCTTTTAAAAGTGCATTCTATTTTTGAAAAGTAGTTTTATATATGACGATAGCGTTGAATTTATTAACAACATATTTATTTTATTATCTTCAAAATGTAAATTGTATTTGCCAGTACTTTTCTTTTCATTAGTATACCTCTTAAAAGACATTCAGTTATTATTGTTTTCAATATTAGTTTTTATATTTATTTTATATTCCTTAACAACACGAAAGACAATTGCTTGCAACGTACTTTTGGTAATTCTTACATCATTTGTCCAACAAAATAATAGAGCCCGAAAAATGTGCCCCCAATTGCAATTTAACCGTCAGGTTCCCAACTTACCAAGATCACCTTGAACGTAGAGAAGAATCAGATATACACAAAATGTCATTGTTTGTTTAATGTTTTGCATGCCACTGAAAATAAATAATACTCCGTATAAACTTTTTTTTTAATATTTATGTATCTGTAGATACGTAAATGTATCCACAGCAGACGAACATGATTATTTGCTAATAACTGTAATTCTATAATGTGTTCAGGGGCTGCTTGAGTAGTTTCTTTGGATTCATTGGATCATGTCTGCAGAAGTCTTTCCTCATTCATGTTGGCAGATTAATAATTGCAATTAGATCGCTTTGAAATTTCCGTCCCTGCTACAATTCGTTTTTCACTGTGAAAGTAGGACAGTGCCAATTTGCTGTGCACACAACGCCTTGCATGAATATACAACACACATCCCCACAAATAAATACAAACTAAAAACAAAGAATAAATTTATTCAGAATTTTAAAAAGCTCGGCTACCCGTTTAGTATCACTATTAGACAAGTTTTTCAGCACGCAAAATAAGGGAATCGTGGCACGCTACGAGAAAAAAACGTGCTGTCACTTCTCGGTCTCAGAGCAGCCGTGTACAAGGCCATGTTCTCGTGCATTCGTATTGTGACGTCATGGATACTCACAGCGACCACAGACACAGAGCTTTCGTATAACAAATATATTT